ATAATGAATTATTGTGATGTTTACCAATATAAATGATGATGGTTCGCATGATTAACTGATTATGAAATGGTTTGTTCTCGATTGGTGAAATTATTACTAGCTAAATATTTGTGAATCGATTTTTGATCAAACTGAGTATGAAAGGGGTACGATATATATGGGCCCACTACCCCTCCATGTCTGCTACTAGATATTATGGATCCACTAGATAGCCACATGCGTGTGATCCGAACCTGAAGTTACGAGATGATTTGATCAAAGAATGGCACAATGATTATGAAAGAATGAAAATAAGTGTTATATGAAAGTGATGAAGCTAGTAATATACTCAGTTAATATGATGAACTCTTGAAAGAAAAATGTGCACATTACAAGTGATATGAGTTCAAAGTCCTCCTATTATATGTTGAAATCGAGAACGAAATGGAGATTATATGAACTCCCCTTAAGAAACTCAATACTGAAAATGCAGATCAGGGATCTGTTAAGATAAGGGGGAGAATCAATTATTGAAATTTTGGAAATGATATATACGTCACACTGAACGTGTGCAAATCATAAACTGAAGGATACTGATGGTGGTTAAATATATGAAATGATATGATGGTGGAAAGATACGCTGGAAGCGTTAATATTGTGCAAATTGAAATTCCCCAAATAAGTGATGAAAGGAGGCATATATATACTATCAATGAAATTAATTGATAATGATATATCTCAATATATTACGAGGAATAATAGAAATGAAAATGTGTCGACACAAACAAATGAATAGCGCTATATAAATGATATTGATGAGAATGAAATCAACTCAATTGTGAATATTGAGAACTGTTTTCAATAAGACCATTGAAATCGATTGATGATGAGAATGAATTTAAGAATGAAAGTTGCACAAAAGCATGATATGAAATATTATCGTAAATACCACCAGTATCGGAAAATCTGAATGAATCTATATGATATTCATGAAAATTATGGAAGTGTTATTATGATGAATATATGGAATATGCGTTGTACTCTTTTTCCCTTGGCTGAGGTTTTGTCCCATTGGGTTTTCCTAGCAAGGTTTTTAATGAGGCAACGGGGATGGCGTATTCACATGAATAGTGTACTCTCTTTCCTTCATTAGGATTTTGTCCCACTGGGTTTTTCCTAATAAGGTTTTAACGAGGCATATTCATGGTACAATGAGGACTACTGGATTATTTATATGATTCCTCATGATGATACTGGAGTAGCTGTACTCTTTTTCCTTCGATCAAGTTTTTTTCCCACTGGGTTTTCTTGACAAGGTTTTAACGAGGCAGCACATGGATACTCCACTAATGATGATCAATTTGAGGGGGAGCAATGTTGTGCTTCCACAATGCTCAGGTTTTGTCCCACCAGATTTTCCTGAGGAAGCAATGTTATGATTTCAAGATGATCAGGTTTTGTCCCACCGGGTTTTCCTGACATGCTGAAGCAATGGTACCTGATGGCCACAAGATATACTTGAAGATGTGCAGATTGGACTTTGTTTAAATAATGATTCAAATATATTTAGAAAATAGTCATTCAAGGGGGAGTGTTATAAATATATATGGTCCACACCATTAATGTTATTATAAAATAATGTATGTGAATGACTATTTTGCCCCTGATGAAATTGTATTATTACGGTTGTGCCATCAGAAGTTTCCTATAAATAGGAGCTTCAGTTATAATGAAAATTGTACCTAAGAGAAACATTTTCTCTATTCTCTCTATTTTCTCTAGTTTTATAACATTCTTGAACTGAAATTTTTGTTATTTTTTGTGGTGGGCAGGGCTATATACATTTTAACTGTAGAACTGTATTATTCAGAAATATTTTGTACATCTAAATATGGAGAGAATTCAATTAGAAAAGGGGTTTGATTTCTTCCTACCCACGGGTAATGCGCCATGAGGATTTTAGCATGGTTCAGAATGTCGGACTGGACCAGCCGATTCAACCGGTTAGAATGAGAATCGGCCTTCATTCGGTCCAGTTTGGACCATCAGACTGCCCTATATTCGAACCGTTTCAAAACCGGTTGAAAGGTCCAAACTAGGCGAACCGGTGAACCGAGACTGGTTCGAATGGTTCAACGGTTCAAGCTTTTGAATTTGAAATTGGTTGGTTATGAAATGATTTAAATAGCACACCTATTTTGTCTGTGTTTCTAATGTGGGATATGACCTCTTGCTAAAATTATTGGGTCAATATTGAGTCTTATATGCAATATTGTACTCATTAAAAAAATTGTATTATTTTTTAAATTGAATTATCTATTGTGCTATATTTATTCACAATTTATTAAAAAAGAAATAAGCATTTAATCAATAATAATAATTTAAATGTGACTTAAAATGAAAATACAGTTGTTTTTATTCTCTCTACTTTCCAATTAAATATAAATTCAAAATTTAAATATAAAAAATAAAATAAAATAAAAAGTTATAAACATTAATCAACATTGTCAGTAGCATCTTTTATTGAGTTATTATTTAGAGAAATGTCATACATTTTAAATTAATAAAATTAATGATAAAAATATATGTAATCTATACTTATATGAAAGGTTATCCTATTTACTAGAAATAGCAGACAGAAAAGTCAAATGTAATTAATGCTTACTGGAAATAGAATGACATTAATTGCAGATTTGTTTTGGTATTTATAGGTCTGACATTAAAAATTTGTTATGGGATAAAAATCAAAACTGATTTATTTTATCTTTGCTGCAAAAGTCAAAGCTAAGTATAGATTTGTTTTATCCCATAACATCGGTTTAGTTAAAAAAATCCTATAAAATCAGTTTTAATGTCAAGCCTATAAATAAAGATTTAATCGGGTTTAATAAAGCAAATTTAATCGATTTTAATATTTGCATAGAATTTCAAAGATGTTTATTGATTGTAAAAAAATTAAATTCTTAAAAAATGTTTGTGTCTATTTTAAAAAATGTTTGTACAAAATGTTTTACTTTAAATTTATTTACATAATTTAAATTAATTACATTGAACATACATTAAATATTTTAATTACATAAAACAAAAAGAAGAAGAAGACTACATCTATAACTTGTATAAATAATAATAATGACATTATATTACAATAATGAAGAACAAGATTACGTAAAATTGTAATTTTTCTTATATCAAAGAATAAAAATATATATAATGAAATCAAATTTATATTATTATAAACATATGAGCAAGATAATATATTAATTAATTTACGGGCTAGCGCTACCTGACTCAGGTTTAATGTTCCGACAAAAAAAATGACCTTAATGAAAAGATGTAAAAAGATAAATGATAAAATTCTATTATTTTTTAGGTCTGAACGGACAAGCTCTATGGTCCACTCATTTAATATCTCCCGTGAATCGCGCGAGCTACTTAACGGACAAGCTATGTGGAAATGACCCATTTAATACATATGACCCGTGCATCGCACGAGTTATGTACTAGTTATATATAATACATATAAAATAAATAAAAAATTATATATTAATTAAATCGTTTCGACCACTGGTCCGACCAGTGAACCATTGAATCAGCAGCTTCACCGGTTCGATGCCCGGTCCGGGTTCAGAACTATAGATTTTAGCCATAAATTTCACACACATCCACATTGGTGCGTGTAAGTATGTGCAAATTTGTGAAAAAAAAAAATAAAATTGCACCAAAAAAAAAAAAAGAAACATGAACATGGGGCACTGTCCTGATACTAGTAACTTTTTGAGAAATGCTCACCTACCCACGGTGGGCACTTGTTAATATGCCCAGCGCGTAGGTGGCATGCACTCATTGGTGATGTATTTTTTTAAACATATTAACATTATCAATGAATACATGCCACCTACGCGGTGGGCATATTAACAATTGCCCACCGTGGGTAGGGGAGCATTTCTAGTAACTTTTTTCCTCAGACGGGATAACTCAATGACAAGTGCAGATAACATAAACTTTCTTGTTTTAGGGAGAAAAACTGAATTAAAAACATTACAAGAAATCAAAACGAGAAGCCTTTTCCACAAAGGCACATACAATTTTTGGTCATTTGGGATTTCAAATCTTTATGTGAAATTAAAAACATTTTAACCCTTTTGGTGAAAAGCATCTGCTCTCGCACCTGTACACTGCCAAAAATTAAATTGTCCTATTCTAATTAAGAAAGGAGTAAAAAGAGAGAAAAAAAAAACACACACACAACCACAATTTCATACGAAAAATAAGTAGGTGAACCTACAAAAAAGCTTAATTATTTGTCCTTTTTGCTTTGATTATTAATTAATTCTAAAAAATCTATTTTATACTATTATTTAAATATTCACTTGTGAGTTGTCTCACATTGTTTATATAGAGAAAATAAGCCTAATTTATAAGTCTAACCACATTGGACAACTCGCAAGTGAATATTCTAATACGCCTCTCACTCGTGAGTTCTTCATAAGAAGCACAAGCTCATATACGGAGCCGGGTGCCCAAGCCTTACTAAAAACGGTCTGGTTAAACGGGTACGTTACTAGACTTATAAAGTGAGTCTGTTTTTCCTGTATAGACGATGTAAGACAATTCATAAATGAAATAGACGTTAAAAAAAAAATCCTGCAAGAAAAATATGTAATCATGATATAAATTGAACAAATTATTAATGATTCAGTAGTAGAGTCACATTCCAACTCAAAGAGATCACATTCCAACTCAAAAAGAAATTAACATCACTATTTTCTGTACACATTGCTTAAGCATCAATTCTTGATATCTTAAATTAAAAAAAAAAATAAAAAAAAAAATAAAAAAAAAAACATAATCTTGGAATATACAAAATACCCCCGGTTTACCCCTTGTAGTTCCACATAATTACTAGCAAGAAGTAAGAGGAAAAACGTGGGTATTTTGGACATTTCACAAAAGAAAAAAAAAAAAGAAAGTTATATGAGCTGAAAAATAATAAGCTTAACAAAAACAAGTGTAATAATTAATTAATTGTGGAGAGGATCTGGGCAGCTTGGTATTTTCCTTTTGTAGTCAGCAAATGTACCATTATTATTATTGAGATCCGAAACTCTGCCTTTGAAATACTCTCTGAACACTTGAGTTCGACTCTTGACGGGCTCCGTTGATTGGCCGTTTTCCACTAATGCCCTCGAACTCGGCGGAAATAGCCTTATCGCCACCGCCTTGGTTTGACTGCTGGAAGCCCAAATGTAGAGAAGAGAGACGATGAGAAGCGCCACCAGAGACGAGGGATATAACCGTCTTTTACAGCCCGGAGATGACATCGCCGCCGGCAAACAAGTACACGTGGACCCTTTCGATCTCCACTTGCTTATTATAAGCATGTATCTGTGTGGATATGAATTCGGCCCGGCCCGAAATACAGTTTTCTATTTTTTTTTTTTTTTTGTAATTTTTTCTCTGAGTGAGAGTGTATTTGAGTATGAACTTAACAGATTTGGTGAGAGTATTACTTAAACATGTTAGATATATGCAAGAGTGGGACCCACCCACCTCTGGTTGGACCATGTATCAAACTCGCAGTTTTTGTCCCTGGCTCATTTAAATTGCAAAATAATCAGGTACATTTTTTTTTGCCAGTCACGGTACGAAACTATCACTATAAAAAAAAAACTCTGACATTCTAACAGAAATTTTTCGTTGGAATTTTTTTATTTCCGTTGGAATAGCTATTCCAACGGATATTCCTACGTATAAAAATCTGTTGGAAAAACGGCCGTTGGAATAGCAAATATCCAACGGAAAATCCTATGAAAATAAATTCCTACAGCTATTCCAACGAAAAAATCCGTTGAAATTCTTCAACTATCCAACAATTATTCCAACATAAAATTAAGTTTGTTGGAAGATTTATTTGTAAGAATTTAACGGGTATGTTCATATACTGTTAAGCGGAATTGAATAA